TGTTAAAACAGGTCAGAGGAGATGGTGAGACCTGAATTTTCTGGGTTTCTCAGCAAGGATGGTTAGCATATTTGGATAAGGAGAAGTGAATAACCAAAAGGCCAGTGGTGGCAATTAGCCCAGTATAGCCCTCCAACTATACTAAGGACATGGTTCAGAGCTGTGCTGTACGGCATGGTAGCCACTTGCCACATGTAGCTATTGAGCACTGGAAATGTGATGAGTCTCAACTGAGATATATTAAGTGAAAAGTACACTCCGGATTTCAGTTTCACATGACAAAAAGCATGTAAAGCACCTCAACATTTTTTTTTAACTGATTATATGGTTACATAATATCTTGGATATCTCAATGTAAATAAAATGTTATGAAAAATCAATTTCACCCTTTCTACCTTTTTAATGTGGCTACTAGAAAACTCAAAATTACATGTGTGGTTCACATCTGCGGCTTGCATTCTATTTCTACTGCACAGTGCTGGTCCAGAGAGCTTTAAATAACAAGCTACAGAGTTTAATCCCTTGGGGCTATGAAACACTATTGAATGTTTTTAAACCTAAGTGCTTGTGGTAGATTTGGGGAGCGTGCAGGGAACATAAACGAAGCGCTGTTTCAGGAGTGTGGGGGCCATCTGTAGGGTCAAGACACTAGAGGTGGTTGTCAATGTCAAAAGGCCGGCAAATGTCAAAGGATAAGCAGGCTCAGTTGGAAAGTGTACAAGGTCTTTAGAAGTCCCATGCTGGGTGGAGAGAGGAGGAAAAAACCAAGCGCAGGGTGAGGTGAGGGAAGAGGAACAGCTGCAAGCACTGACGTGAGCCTGGATGACCAAGGTGCACTGCTCAGCGGACTCTCGAGCCCAGCCTCGGTTGAGAGTCAGGTTAGGTCTCATCTGGCTCAGTGGAAGGGCTCCCAGGCAGAGGTGACATTCAGGAGAACAAAATCAGTGTCCTCTTTAGCAATTCCAGATCTCTCTTTCTCTGTGGCAAGACCTCTGCCAGCGGGATCAAGTTCGGCAAAGGTAGGAGGCTACCAAAAACTAGAAGATAGCAATAAATTATAAAAAAGCAAACACCCAGACTCACAACACAGCCAAAAAATATTTACTGGGAGTCTGCTGTATGCCTGGTCCTTGGCTCAGCTCTGGAGGTATGGGAAACAGACATGGTCCTGAATCAAAAATTGTGGTGAGAACTATGAAAAAAGAACAGGAAGCTCTGAGAGATCGAACTGAGGGAGGATGGGAGTAGTGGGATGAGGTCATAAAGGAAAGACTCTCTGAAGAAGTGACAATTTCATGTGAACCCTGAAGTCAGGTGGGTAAAGACCAGGGGGAGTAATGGCCCAGGCCAGGAGAATGCTGTGCACAAAAACCTTAAGGCCAGAAAAGGCTTGGGTAATTCAGACAACTGAAAGAAAGGCTATGTAGTTAGAATGTCAAGAAGGCAGGTGGGTCATAAAAAAGGTGTGAGAAGGCTGGAGAGGCAGGCAAAGGCCAGATCTTGCACAGCCTCACGGGATGGAAAATAAAATCCCGAACGGGTCCAAGTGCAATGGAAAGCTGTGAGGGGTTCTGATCAGGGAAGTGGTCCAATCCTGATGGGTTCCAAGTGTTAAGCCACCTATGCTCTGTCTGCTCAGCCCCCTGAACAGGAGCTGGCTTGGGAGCAAAGGGGCAGGAGCCAGCATTTGTAGCTGAGTAGCAACATACCTGGTCTGGGGTAACAGAGTGTAACATAAGGCCCTTCAAGGGACTCCCCTGGTGGTCCCGTGGTTAGGACCCCATGCTGCCAATGCAGGCAGCCTGGGTGTGATCCCTGGTCAGGAAACTCAAACGTACATGCCACGTGGCATGGCCAAAAGGTAATGATAATAAGGCCCTGTTTCCCCGGGGGCTTCCCTGCTGGCTCAGGCAGTAAAGAATCCGCCTGCAATGCAGGAGACCTGTGTTCAATCCCTGGGTTGGGAAGATCCCCTGGAGAAGGGGATGGCTACCCACACTGATTTCTGGCTTGGAGAATTCCACGGACTATATAGTTCATGGGGTCGCCAACAGTCGAACAAGACTGAGCGACTTTCAAGTTTTCCAGGCTTGCAAGGTTGGGAGAAGTATGACACCACCAAAAAATATAGAAAAATCTGATGGAAGAGTTGATTTGGGAGACACTAGCTGGAAGGCACAACTCCAAACATACTGAGTATGAAGCACTAGGAAAGAATTCCAGCAGGTAAATATGAATGTTGTTTTATAGAGAATGGAAGAGAGATCAGCCATGGGATACTGAGGTTAACACACAGAGAAGTGACAGTTTAAATCCCAAAAGTAAATAACATTTTCAAGTAGTTGAAAAGACAGGAGAAAAAAAAGCGACAGGAGCCTGAATCAGATCCTCAGTGTTTCTCTCTGGGACAGAATTGAGGGCTCTCGAAAGGGACAGAGCATGAGGGAGTCTTTGAAGAATGATGGGACCATTCTGTACCCTGATTGTGGCACTGGTTACATGAATCTGTACATGTGTTAACATTCAGAATGTTACTATATTAATAACAGAAATTTTCAAAATAAAAAAATTTACTTCCTAGGCTCTATGAACTGCTCCATTTAAGTATTCTTCCAGAACATGCCTTTAGCTCATGAGCTATTCTCTTTACTGTCCCATTAAATTAAAACCGCTAAAATGAACCCTAAGTCATAACATTCTAAACTGTTTCTTAGTCAACTTACATTTACTGTGGTCCTATTATATGTATCAAGCACCCTGCTGGATACAAAACTGAATGATGCCTGGTCCCTGGAAGGGTTAACTGACAACAGCAAGGTACCGGAGTGTAGACCTGCACAAAAACCTCTGAAAGCCTTGACCCCTGTTATCTCTATAAAAATTAAATAGGGAAGAAATTAAACAAAGCTTAGATGTAACACCAGCAAAAATGCTAATCTTTAAAAATTAAGAATGAGTTTCATTAATTCTTAAGCTAGGTATGCAGAACCTAATCATCAGTCACATTTCCCTTTTCCATCCCTTTCTGCTTCTCCGTGTCCTTTCTGCATTTCTTCCTCTGGGTAATTTGGGGGGGGTGGGGTGCAAAATGGAATATGCACAGGGTTTGAAATCAGACTGAAGACTAACTCGATCGATGCCCTTTAACTTCCTAGCTCTGCGGCTTTTGGAGGCTGTTTTTCCCATCCATACAACAGTAATGACACCGACCTCACAGGTTTGAGGTAAGGATTAGGTAAAAAATATAAACAGGTTGGCATAGGCAAAGAGCGCCAAAAAAAAAAAATGTTAGCTCGTTATCATTACCATTTGAACAAATGGCATTGTTCTGATTTAAAACATTTTTAAGTGCTTCCATTTGAATGAGGACAAAAAAATTTCCCGACCCACCTCCCAAAGGGTATCACATTCCTGTGCTACCTTAGAAAAGCCACTTGGGAATTTCTTAAGTCCCATCAGAAACTTTTCTGCTCAAATGTTTGGGACAGCACTTAAAAACAGTCAAGAACTAAAAAATTAATTTAAAGGCATCATATCATCACTGCATTCTAAGTGGAACAAGCCAGTCTGATTCGTGTTCTGGATGCTTGCCTTAGTGTATGGACCTACTACATTCACATCTCTCCTACTACTTAGCTAGTGAGACACCGCACAAGGTAGAGGTGTCAATGTGCTAAAAGTTCTGCTTTTTAAGAGGTATTTACATAACACTACCAAAAGCTAAACAGTTCCAAAGCCACCCGAATCAATAGGAAACTATCATCCTACTGAAATTCCCCACAACTAGGAAGAAAACAGCCGCTATTGTTAAACTTGCACAAAATACTAAAATGTAAGATTTCTATACATCTTATTTCTGCTTGCTTAACTGCTGGGGGAGGGGAACAGTAATTAACAACGTTTTATTCACCGACTATGGAGAAACATCTCTGGCTAATTTTGTTCTATATTTTGCCTATATTGTAAGCAAATGGCCAACTTGTATTCACCTTATTCCTCGCTTCAACCTTTAGCACAGAGGCTAGAAAGTAATAGTGCAGCCGTCAGATACGTGAAAAAGCAAAGAGCCTGAAAAGACCAATTCCTGGTGTTCAAATAACTGAGGATGGGCTGGGCCTTAAGGTCACGGACAAGGGGCTACCCTTATTGGGTGTCTTCAGTCACTACATAGTGCATTTAAGCCCACTGTGGAAACCCACTAGTTTGAAACCAAGGGCGCAGGACCAGGGGATGGCAGAAAACACTTCTGGCTGGTCGTCCGCTGATAGTCCCCTCGCCCTCCTTTCCCTGGGGAAGAGTTAATCGACCTGTGGCCACACAGGCAGGGCTCCGGGGTGAGGGGTGGAGCTGGGACACCCGGCCCGGGTTGGGTAGGTGAGCGCATTCACTCTGTCACGCAGGTCTTGCACACAGGTGGGGACCAGGGGGCGCCGAGGCCTGACGCCTCCCTCTGCCACCTCCAGGCAAGGGGCCCCGATGCGCCTCCGTGGGCTTCGGCTCTCTGCCGCGACGGGGACCCCTCCTGGCCCCGAAGTGCCCCGGCGACGGAAAGCGAACTCTGCTCGACCGGCCCACCCGGAAGCCCTCCCCCAGCTCACACCTGCCGGCGCGTGACGCCCGCTGCCGCCGCCGCCGCTGCCGCCGCGCGCGCGCGCGCCCGCCCGCCCCAACCCGGCCATTCCGGGGGCCCCTGCCCCGCGCGCGGACGTCGCCCGCGTCCCTCCCCGCCCCGGGGTCAAACCCACCAGACGCCCGCCCCGCGAAGCGCGCGCCCAACGCCACCGCCCCCGCCGGCCCCGCGCGCTCTCACGCCCCTCCCGGCCCTCTCCCCGCCGCGCGCGCTCACTCGCGAGGACACGCACACGCTGCGCCTCAGCTTGACAGGCCGGCCCCGCGCCGCGCGCTCCCGCGGACGTCCTCGCCCACCCGGCCGCCCGGCCCTGACTGGGCGGTGAGCGGGGGGAGGGGAAGGGCGGCGGTGGCCGTCGGTCCTCACTCACCGCCGAGCCGTGCCGGCTCCGAGTGCGCGGCGTTCCGCTGTGAGGCGATGCGCTGCGATGCGCGCGGTCCCCGCTCCTTCGCAGGCTATGGAGGCGACGTAGTAGGGGGACTGAGGGGTTCGGGGGAGGGGGTCACTCCCTCCCGCTTCACCTCCGAGAAACACGGGGACCCCAGAAACTAAAAACAAAATAAACAAACTTTCCCCTCCGCCTCCCTCCCCCAAAACCACAACACAAACACTCGGGGCCCCGCCCAGAGCCCCACTCCATTGGCCGCAGGGAGGATGCTGCCGACCCTCACTGGCTGGCTTTTGTGCCCGTCAAGCTGCCGTTCCGCCCCTCCAATGCCTCGCCGTAGCCGTCGCCCCTCATTGGTCAAATGCGTTCCGTTTGACGAGCTAGGATTGGCTGAGCTGCCTGCGCCAATCATTCGGGGACACACCCCCTCAGCATCCCAGAGGCCGCTTCCTCGGTCGCGGACGCGGAGAGGCGAAGGGGAAACTAGAGCATGATGGCGGCCGAGCTCAGTTGGCGCAACCATCGTCTTTTTCCTTTTATTAGCTCATTAGTGCCTCGCCCTCGCGCTGTTTCCCCTGAGCTCCTCTCTCCATCCAGTACTGCCTAATAACGGAATCTATACGTCCTGGCTCCTTGATTTATCCCCTCAGAAGTGCTGAGTGTGGGCTGGTTGTGAGTCATTGGACTGTCAGCATGTCACTCGTTAGTCAAATCTTCAAACTATTGGTGGAACGGCTAGAAAGCCCGTCCAACAACAAGGGCTAATGCCATTGGTTTGTCTCCACCGAGTTCTTTCCTGGTACGTTATTGGGCAGATAGGCGCGTCGGTGATTCGCACTGTTAATTGTTTGCTAGGCAGTTTGGATGACTGTTCATTTGGCCTGTAGTTGGTATTAACGACTGCCCGCTTGCGTGCCCGCTTTGTGCCATTGTGCAGAGTTCTTTACAAGGACTATCGATTAAAGCTGTGAGTTCTCTAAATTTTACAGATAAAGACACTAAGGCTCCAGAGAGGTTAGGACTCTTGCCCAAGGTCACCTAGATAGAAAATAGTAGACCAAAATTTGGTCCCAGATCTGTCTAACTCCAAAGCCTAAGCTCTTTTCACTGTACTTTAGTGTCTCCCTTAGCCTAGAATCGTACCTGTCAGCCAACCTTACAACTTCAAAAGGTTTCATTCAGAGGTCCTCAGTTTCTGGAGGTGACACTGTTGGGGACTAAAGCTATGGATAGGTTGTCATTGCCTCCACTGTATCTTCTCCTCCAGCACCCATTCCTCCCACCCTAAATGAAACAGTCTTGGTGTTTCCTGATCGGAAGCCCATTTACCTTTATGTTCATTTTCTCCACTTTATAAATAAATAAATACTTCTACCAGCCTTCTGTTTCAAGCCTACCTTCCCAACTCCCACTCATCCATCTTCAGCTCACTCTTTTCTGAGAGAGTCCTGAAGAGCCAGAAACGAGGAGAGAGTCCAAAGAGGGAAAGAGAATAAATAAATCGGTTTAGGAATATTTTACTGTATGCCCTTTCTGGAAAGCTTCCAGAGTAGCCCCTGATGCTGTGCAAGACGTGTGTTCCTGGCTCCCGGCCATTGAATTCTTTCTGTGGCAGCTTTCAGCAAAGTGAATCCAACATTCCAGCCAGGGGAGGGCAGAATGCTTAGGACCCACTGCCAGAGAACCAGCCCCAGGCTCTGGTACTGAAATGATCTCCAAGAGCACAGTGCTGGACTCAGGCCCACATTTGTCTCCGGTAATTAACATTTTACCATACCAAATCCCCATCCCCTGTAGCTTCAGTAGGATCACTGCCCTTGTTTCGCCTCCTGATCCAAGCTGTTGTGTAACCTCACTGGCACTGCTTTAATAATAAAACAACTACTGTAACACAGAAATAGTGCTCAACACTTATAGCCTTTCAGCAGAGGAAGATAAGTGCTTCACAAACATCAATTAACATTAAATGGCAGGTATTCCCAGGGCAACTGCCAGCAGGACAGAAGGAAAATCATGAGTCAAGGTCTAAGAAAGGTCCTAGGAGCCTGAATCCTTAAAACTATATGCACATACCCCACACTAGCATTCCAATATGAGAATAATTCTGAACCATAAAACAAAATGAGTGAGAAATGGTCAGGGTCCAAAACCTTCCTTATCTTCATTGTTGGTTGTTTGAAACTCTTATTTTAACCCTTAAACTAGTGCGTGATTTTATAGTTAATTGTTAGACACATCTATCTCCCCAGCTCAGCTTTTTTGTTGTTGTTCAGTCACTAAGTCAGGTCCGACTCTGAGAGCCCGCATATTGCAGAATGCCAGGCTCCTCTGTCCTCCACTATCTCCCAGAGTTTGGTCAAATTCATGTCCATTGAGTTGATATGCTATCTAACCATCTGATCCTCTGCCACCCTCTTCTCCTTTTGCCCTCAATCTTTCCCAGTATCAGGATCTTTTCCAAGTTGGCTCGCTGCACCAGGTGGCCAAAGTACTGGAGCTTTAGCATCAGTTCTTCCAGTGAATATTTGGGGTTGATTTTCTTTAGGATTGACTGGTTTGATCTCCTTGCTGTCCAAGGGACTCTCAAGAATCTTCTCCAGCACCACAATTCAAAGGCATCAGTTCTTTGGCACTCAACGTTCTTTATGGTCCAGCTGTCACATCCATACATGACTACTGGAAAAACCATAGTTTTGACTATGCAGACCTTTGTTGGCAAAGTGTCTCTGCTTTGTAACATGTTGTCTAGTTTTGCTATAGCTTTCCTTCCAAGGAGCAAGCATTTTTTAATTTCATAGCTTCCTGGTGGCTCAGTGATAAAGAATCCTCCTGCTGTTGTTGGGAATGTGGGTTTGATTCCTAGGTTAGGAGGATCCCCTAGAAAAGGAAATTGCAACCCATTCCAATATTCTTGCCTGGGAAATCCCATGAACAGTGGAGCTATAGTCTGTGCTATAGTCTGTGGGGTTGAAAAATAGTCAGACACAACTTAGTGATTAAATAACAACTCAGCTTTAAGTTCCTTGAAAACAAATGGTTTCTTTTATTTATTTATTTATTTTAACAAATGGTTTCTTATTCATCTTTGTATGTTATAAATTGCCCTGGTTATAAAAGGTTCCCCTATAAATAATTATTCAGTGAATATTTATAGAACTCGTGGGCACTTTCCTAGGGTACAGAGGCTGCACAGATGAATAAAACATGTCTGCATTCAGGGACCTCGATTGGTAGGGATGGCCAACAGGTAAACATGTAATCACAGCACAGATGGCTTGGAAGAACAAGGGAGGGATATGGGACGCAATCTTTTTGTTTTCTGTTTTGCTGTGCCAGGTCTTTAGTTGCAGCACACAGGATCTGGTTCCCTGACCAGGGGTCAAACCTGGGCCCCCCTGCATTCAGAGCCTGGAGTCTTAACCACTGGACCTCCAGGGGAGTCCTGGGATTCAGTCTTGAGGAGACAGAGATGGCTACCTTGAAGAAGTGACATCTACAAGGAGTAAAGAATGAATTGTGATTAGCTATTCAAGAGGCTGAGGATGTGTGGTGACCTGTAACACTTGTCCTTGGGGGGCAAGGAGCATGATAGGAATATCCAGGAATGGCTAAAGCCTGTTCTTCCTATAATTTTTGTCTCTGAGGGCCTTCGGGGGTTCTACTTTCCCTTCCCAGAAGAAAGCAGGAAGCCAGAAACCCTGTTGTGTTTGCCCGCCTGAGAATAGGAACACAATTTCCAAATATGATGGCGGTTTTCCGGATCACTGGGTAAAGATTTCAGACTGTACAGAGAGTTTGAAAGTAGAAAAGAAAAGCTCTCCCAAACCCCACTACTAGAGCCAACCGCCATTAAGGAGTCTGTCTTCCCAGACTCTTTTATGAATAGACCCACGCATGGGTTTCTTCCAACAAACAGTGGGGTGTGGTTCAGGGTCTTGTCAGTACTTTGAGAGCTCTCATTGCTCAGAACTCAGCTATGGATGGAACCTGTTCTCACTTTGTATACTTATGGGAAGGATGCCAATAAATCCTACGTGGAGGATGATGGTTTCAAATTCCTGTCGCAGCAGATGACAAATTTCCACCTATTACAGGACTCTGGGGCTCACTCAGCCTAGTGTGGAATCAATGAATGGTGGGTAGGAAGGGGCTCTGCTATGCTCACTGCCCGAGCTTACAAGCTGCTTTAGTGGCTGTAGGGTCAAGCCATGCCCTGAAAAGGCAGCCCAGGTCAAAGAATGACATGCTAGGGTGCTCTCTTTTGCTCTCTTTCTTATTTCTTCTCTGCATGCTACTTGGAGAAAACATTTGGGGTGTTTGTTCCAACCCACCCAGCTTTGAGAGTAAAAAGACCCGCCAAGCCCTGCACACTGGCATGCAGGCCAAGTTCAGTATGTTCTTGGAGCGCTATACTATTCTTAGAGCTCTATATGTGGTGTTCTATACATTTGGCTTTTTGCTGGAAGGGAAGGCAAATTTAATGAGTGATGGCTGCCTTGGATGGCTACCAACATTTCTCTAAGTCATTCCAAGCAACAGGCCTTCCTTCTTTCCCTTGAGAGGTTGTTCTGTGATCCCTGAAACACACTGCGTTGGCCTGGACAAAATCCAATGCAAAGGGAATTTCTGCAAACAATTCTGCGATGACCCACAAGCTCTGGGTGACATAGCCAGTTGGATCGGCTCCAACTCTGATATCCGTGGCTCAGGAGACGTCCCTTTACCCTTTGCACTGGCCTCTCATTGCTGCAAGACATTGGGAAGTGTTTGGAAAGCGGTCTCCTGTTCCCAAACTTATAATCATGGGAAGAGTCCCTGTAAAAAGAACTGAATTCAAAAGACAAGAGGACAGCTGACAGCTGATATGGCTCACTTGGGCAGTGGGTGTGGCCACAGCCAAGGCCAAGAGCACTTGGGGGGAAGGGAAGTTTCTAGAGAGTGCTGATTATAGAGGACATGCTCGTAAGCATTTATTACACATTTGGTAGCATTTATTGTGTAACAAAGCCCTTGTGACAGAAGCTTTGCCGCTTCTAAATCACATCTCATTTCTTACAACCACACTTCCTGAAAAGCTTGTAGGGAAGCCCTGGACACCCCCAACACCCCCCTCAACCCCCTCTGGCCAAAGCGTGACCCCCAGGGAGGTTCATAGGGGCACCAGATGTGCTGTAAATAACAGCTACCCTTTGGTGAACACTTACTACGTGTCAGACACTGTACTGAGGGCTTTATGTGGATAATGGTGGCAGTTAATCTTCACAATAGTCATGGTTGTCCCCATTTTCCAGGTAGGGAAACTGAGGTTTGAAGGGTGATTAACTTGTGCCAGATCACCACAGTTAATAACCTCA